GCATCATACCAAGATCGGGGAATCCAGTTGATGAGAGAGAGGAGAGATACTGTAGGTGAGCAACGTTGGATCATGATGGGAGGATGTTCAGAGATGACCAGCCACACTAATGGAAGCCCATGAACTGTGGACTGGTGGCTGTGGAGCCCCCATGGGACTGGAATAGGTCCTCTGGATATGGAAGATGGTTGTTTGGCTCAAACTGTTTGGGGGGCACCAAGGCAGGGGGATCAGGATCTGTCCCTGGTCTTTGGGCAAGCTTCTTGAATCTGGTGCCTATGGTGTGACACCTTGCACAGTCTTGGTGCAGTGGGAAGGGGCTTGGACCTGCCTAGGCTCAGTGTGCTGGACTCTGCTGACTCCCCATGGGAGACCTCGATTTGGGGGATGTGGGGTTACGGGGTAGCTTGGGAAAGAGGGCTGGGGGTGGGAGAAGGGGGTGTTGTGGATAGTATGTGGAGTAGAAAATTTCTTAATAAAGAAAAATGAAAAAATAAATAAATAAAAACCAACTGGTCTAACCTGAAGTTATTACAAGGCTTGGTTTCAGCCAAATGATACACACCAAAATTTTTAACTGTATCTTTTTAGCATTAAGAGACTTAATGGCCACTTTGGCTCTGGAGGAGTTTCAGTTGTTCTCCTTAATCATTAACCCGAGCTGCAATCGAAAGCAGCTCCTTAGGCCCTAGTTGTGAGACATATCCTTGTATATACATTTACTCATCAAAGCTCTGTATAAGCTAACATTATAAATTAGATGGTAAAAAAATTTCCTACCACATAATTCAACCATGTCAGATATCAGAGAAAGACAGCAACAGCAAGCATGCAAAGGGACAACAGAAGAAAAAGACATTCTGTGGTCTGTGGTCTTGGGGGCCTTGCCTGAGAATTATCCAACAGGGGGTTGCCTCCTGGTGGGCCAACACCCTGAACCTCAATCATCACCTGTTGACCCCAGCATGACTACTGGAAAAATGTCTAGTCCTCAGAATAAACAAATTAAAAAATATATATGATAGTGTAAATATTTTCATATGCAAAGAGGATTTATTATTTAAATTGGCCTGTGTTCCTCTATCCTTGCATGAAACTATGTTTACAATCTGAAAAGACAACAGCTTACTGTTGTAATATTTCTACTAATATTAATTGAGCACCAGCAAGACAGACAGCTCAGTGGGAAGGAACTCTGATATGCAAGGCTGGAAACCTGGCCTTCATCACCATATGAAGAGGACCAAAAGTAGAAACCACAAAGCTGTCTTCTGGTCTCCACATAACTGACATGGCCTACAAACCCATAATCACATTACACACACACCATAAATGTTTGTTAAAAAAATAAATCATAGTGCCATTGCATTATCTGGCAGTACTTTATGATGAAATGCCAAATGGTTAACTAATGGGGACAGAGAGAAGTATGGGATATATATATATATATATATTCATCAAGCTATGGTATGAGATACAGTTGATTAGCCTACTTTATAACATCTCAATCAGATAAATGAAAATACTGTTTTGAATACAGATGAGATGCTATGGGTCCCAACAGAAATATGAAATAGAAATTTAGCATGACAAAGCCATCAAAGAATTCTTCCAGAGGAACCTAAGTCTCAAAGAGTATTTGGTGTTACTTAGCTTTTAATATATCAAGCTGTTTCTGATATGAATTTTATGTATATTCTCATAGCTTTTCCAAGACTTTCTAACAGCTTGGATTGATCCTTCCTTCAGCACACACATTTAAGGTATTTGGATACAGTCACTTAGGCAAGGTTTCCTGCCCCTAGGATCTCTGGTTGTTGTTGTTGTTTTTAGCATTTGAATTACATGTCCACCTTCTACAATTATCCCCTTTAGCAAACATTCAAAGTTGTGGTGGCATTGTGTTCCCCAAAATGTGCACCCTAATAAACTTATCTGGGGTCAAAAACAGAACAGCCACAATATTAAACATAGAGGTTAGGCAGTGGTAGCACACGCCTTTAATCCTAGCATTCCAGAGACAGAAATCCATGTGTTCAAGGATACAGCCAAGCATGGTGACTCATTCCTTTAATCCCAGGGAGTGATGGTAGAAAGCAGAAAGGTATATAAGGTGTGAGGACCAGAAACTAGAAGCATTTTGACTGGTTAAGCTTTTAGGCTTTTGAGCAGCAGTTCAGCTGAGATTCATTCTGGATGAGGACTCAGAGGCTTCCAGTCTGAGGAAATAGGATCAGCTGAAGAACTGGCAAGGTGAGGTGGCTGTGGCCTGTTCTGTCTCTCTGATCTTCCAGGGTTCACTCCAGTACCTGGCTCCAGGTTTGTTCTTATTAATAAGAACTTTTAAAGATTCCTGCTACACAAAGTCAGGGACAACTCCAGACAGGATCCAAGGACAAATGACAAACCTGCTAGGTCCCTGAGGCCCCTGAATTAAAGTAAACACCCATATGGAAACACTACCTTGGCCAGGCAGATGTTACACACATAGCTTTGCTTCTTGTGCAAATTAAGCTCAGACCTCACTTTCTCTCACACCCCAAGTGGCACCACAGGACAACTTACTTAGAACAAAGGGGTTTTCTTCCTACCAGGTGCTTCAAGCTCTGATGCAAGTTAACTAGTGATCAAGTATCCTTTCCCTGCCCTGCCAGAAAATGGTGACATAGGAAAATAAAGGCAGTTTTATTTTAGTGAATCATAGACTCTCTTACCTCACCATCTGTAAGACTGTAGTTTGAGCACATTTATGATGGATTCATGTTTCACCTAACCACTTCTAGGGACATATTTTGAGCATATAAATTATCTTTTGGACTTACTTTAGGCCTTATCTAACCCTACTTCTCCTTTATTCACTCCTCTTTTGGTTTACAAATGAAGCTGACTCTCACTGTTCTTGTGAGGACCTTGAAAGATTTTGCACTGTATTGTAAAAGAGTGGCTGCTGGTGAGTTTGTAGACTGGTGACCCAAGAGGAATGGCAGAACTTTGTTACAGAAGAATAAAGTGGATGAATGAAAGAGCTTGGTGTATTAGATTCCTTCACTTCAGATTATTCTCGACATTGGTAGCGCCTCTTCTGGAGACCTTGGGAAGGAGAATATTAGAGACTGGACCCTAATAGTTTTCATTAATGAAGCATTTAATGTTTCTTATATTCTCTTCTATTAAGCATTTTAACATTAACATTGTTAAATTGTGTTGACAAAACAGCACACATTAGGAGTACATCATATACCCTCAGACTTGTACTCAAAAGGCAGACACATGAGGATTTTATGAGTTCAAATGTATACCTGAATCAATACTGGCATACAAGAAAGGTTGAAAAACAAACAACAAAATCTCAAGGGAATTTGTGAAAATATAAAAACAAAACTAGAAACAACCCACCATCCTTTTACAGACATCCTTATTTGAAATGTATGATCACACACTGCCTGATATTTAAATAAACAATGGACCACTTAGATGATAGGCATACCAATCTAAACATTACAGCAGAAAAATACCTATCACTAAGTAAAAGCACAATAGCTGAACAAAAGCCACAGAAGGAATATAATGACCACAAAATAAACTTAAATTAAATGGAATTGCCACACATATAAGCACACTTTAGTATCTACCTCAGATGTTTCAAAATAGAAACCACAATGCAGTGATTTCCACCATCAGTCTTCAGTGAACATGGTAAGCAATTTACTTCCTTCAAGGCTACGATGAAAAATAAATGAAATATGATTTTTTTCTTGAAGATGAAGATAATTGTGATGTCTAAAGTCTTTACCAAATCATTTATATAAATAAGGTTTTTCTCTTGTGTGAGTTTGTTCCCATTTCCTGACTTCAAAATGATATAAATAGGCTTTAAAATATTTAAAGCACTAGAGACATGGCTGGGCAGTTAAGAAATGTTCATTCCCAGGATCAAGGTAAGATTTTTGACAACTTTCTGTAATTCCTGCTACAAGATTCAAGGGTCTAACATTTCATAGTGCAAGTGTTACAGCTTTGGAGAGAAATGTACCCTGACTCAGAGGTCAGGATATAGCTACATCTGTGAAGAGATCGTACTGATTACATTCATAGGGTTTCTCTCTAGTATGTGTTCTTTTATGCTTTAAAAGATTACTCTTACGTGCAAAGGCTTTACCACATTGGTTACATTCATAGGGTTTCTCTCCAGTATGTGTTCTTTTATGTATTTGAAGAGTACCGTGACGTGCAAAGGCTTTACCACACTGATCACATTCATAGGGTCTCTCTCCAGTATGTGCTCTTTTATGCATTTGAAGATTACTGTGACGTGCAAAGACTTTACCACATTGATTACATTCATAGGGTTTCTCTCCAGTATGTGTTTTTGTATGCATTTGAAGATGAGTGTGATGTGCAAAGGCTTTACCACACTGATTACATTC